GTGCCTGGTCCACCTGGAGTCTGGGTCAGGAAGGGCAAAATGCCTGGTCTACCTGGAAAATCCAGAGGTGGGCTTTGCCAATTCGTTATGCAATTTCCAAGTCCAATTTATGGTTATAAAGCTCCACTAATTTAATCTACTTTCAAAAAGCTACATCTTCTCATTTCAACTTTAACCGTAATGACCAAGTCAGGGCCTTCTGACATTTACCTCTAGACGTTACAACAGACCCCTCTGCTTTTCATGCCTCAGTAGTCTTCTCTGTTCTCAGAACTTCCTCTCACTTTCCTATCGTATATGTTTTTATGAGATATACCACATAATATTTTTAAATAGGTCCCTACACTCTAAAGCAGGAATTTACTAATATTTTTGTTTAATAATTTATCTTTTGAGAACTTTACACCTGAGTACTGCAGCTACATCATCCCAACTCCTCCCTTCCACTCCCAATCCTCCTGTGTTCCTTCCCTCAAATTCATGAACTCTTATTTAGTTATTAATGTTACATGTATGAATGCATGTATGTATATACAAACATGTATTCCCCTGATTCCTGTTTACTGTGTATTGTTCCCCCAAATAATTATAGAATTAATGTCTAAAACAAAACTTAATTAACGTACAACAAAGTATCTCCATTTGATAACAGAACACACACATTTCAAGCAGAACACATTTGAAGAGGGCTGACATGCAGCTCAGTTGGCAGAGTGCTTGCCTAGCATGTGTGGGCCCTGATTTGATACCAAGTACTGCACAAAGGACAAAAGAGAACAGGTTCTTTTACAAAAGTAATATATTTATAATGTTGGGAGCAGGAAAAAAAAGCAAAAAAAAAAAAAAAAAAAACAACAACAAAACGTGTTAACCGGAAAAGAGGAGAGGCAGAGCTCTGTTGTTTACAGCTCCACAAGAATGAAGGCAGCTCAGACCAGAAATGAGTCGGCATTTGCAAGCAGAGAGCTAGAGCTCCAGTGGACAGCTTAAAGTTGCTCTGGCTGGTGGCTGGAGCTCTTCAGCACCTTGGTTCCCTGTGGATTGACTAATTCGGGTTATTTCCAGGGATCAAGGGTATGCGATCTCACCCTATTAGCTGCTGTTTGGCCCCGTGGCAGTTATGGCAGGTGCACAGTGCCATGGCGTGTGGCTGAAGTGTGGAGCTAATCAACCACTCAGAAGGGGGGACTGACCAGCCACTAGTCAGAACTCAAACTGGGCCAAGCCATTTCAAAACAAACAGAGTCAAACATCGTTACAGGGAAGCCACTTTGACATGAAGTCTTAACTATCCATACACATATTTTCTAACTGAAAGGAAAAGATGCTGAAAATATTCTTCTGGTTAGGAAAAGATCAGAAATGGAAAGATGAAAGAAAGAAGAAAAAGCTACTACTTTTTAGTTTAACCCGGTTTGTCAAAAGTATGACTGTTTTTCATAGATGAAGTACTGTTAAATATGCCAGCCTTAAATTCTTGAAATGATCTATACCTCAAGTTTCAGATCTACTCTTCAAGCTGGTTGTAGATGTCAATCAAATAAAAACAAATTTTGACATTTATCAAACGTTTATTGGATGCTAAGTAGTATGCTAACCCCTTTGCATAGGTTATCTCATTTGATCTTCAAGACATGACAAATAAAATGAACGCTTTTGTTTCTTGCCGTTAATGGACAAGCCAAAGAGGCTTTGAGTCACTGAATGGTTTCCCAAGGGCCATTCAAGGACAGAGGCATTTGTCGCTCCCCAAAACAGGTCTCAGAGACTACAAAGCCCATCTCTTAACACTCCATGCTACAACTGACATTGATACCTAAACAATGGCAAATTGGTAAATTTATCACTATTTGTTTGATTAATTACTGGATGGGTATAGCCATAGAGACACCAAAGAAGGAAAATAATATGCAGTCTTATGTTTTGTTCACCCAGCCACTCAAAGCTATGTTGGGAGGAAAGTGGTAAGTAAACACTTGTCTCCCAGCTACTGTGAACGTTCAGAAAAAGAAAAGAAGGAAAAACACTCACGATTTAAAATAAATTCCTAAAAATCATCGGCATGTGTTATATTTGGTTCATCAACAGGGGAAAAAATAGACACATGCATTGAAAATGAAATATCTATGCTAAATGTCTTTGATATCCTGCCAGATTTACCCACAG